CTAGACGTCTAACAAACCATTTTGATATGTTTTACACTCTTCTAGATTTGTTAAATTTGGATAAGAAGGGGCCGTATGAGAAAGGAATTTCACTTTTTCGTAAGATTCCACGTGAAAGGACATGCGAAGATGCTAATATAGACCAGCATTGGTGCACGTGTAATTATCATCTTACCGTAATGGATAATGATACAGTTAAAAACACATTATCAAACATTTTGATAAAACATCTAAATTATCTGTTGGAAAATTACGACAAAGAGACTAAATGTTCCAACTTGACTTTAGTGTCTGTAGTTTCGTCGGTAACCGTAACGTCTAAATCAGGAGAAGATAAGGGTCACAGAATTATAATTAAAACAGAACCAGGGAATGGAATATTTGAAGCCACACTTCGATATCAACCTCGTTCTGGTTTTTATTATGTGAAAGGAGATGTTAGTAGACTGAGTAAATATGGCGACAATTCAAAATGCATTAAGGGGGAAAATACATTACGAAAAATATGTTTCTGTATTTAAAAGGAAGATTCTGTTGATATTTTTGAATTGTTTATTAAAACTTATATATACTGTTTCATGAAGTCTTATATAAAATTTGCAAGCAGTTAATTAAGGCTTAAAAATGCATGTTTTTATTCACAGATATTACTATAATTCGAAATAAAAGTTTTGGAACTTGATTCAGTGAAGACAATTGGAAGAGTGTTGCTTGTATCTAACTTGTCTAGTAAATCATGTTTTTGGAACTTGATTCAGTGAAGACAATTGGAAAGGTGTTGCTTGTATCTAACTTGTCTAGTAAATCATGTTTTTGGAACTTGATTCAGTGAAGACAATTTTAAAGGTGTTGCTTGTATCTAACTTGTCTAGTAAATCATGGAAATAAGTCAAACTAATATGTTATCCAAATTCCCAGGCGCTTATGACCTCCCTTTTTTATTTTTTGTTTTGGTGTTCTAGAGTTTGTAAGTAAATCTTCTTTAATATTTCGTTTTCTTCCTTATCTAATGTGTTCTTGCGCTTATCCACACAATTATAATTTTGTAGGGTTTACTTATTAAGCTATATATAAAATAAGGAGATGTGGTATATGATTGCAAATGAGACAACTATCCACTATAGTCCAAATGTCTTGGATGTAAGCAACTGTGTTTATTTACATTTCTGTGTGTCTTATCATGATCAGATGTAAAAATTGACTAAATTTTACATAAGCAGCAGTTTATACACCCATTATTATATATTGTGGATAATAAACAAGCAAGTCTAAGGGAGAGGATCTCACTAATGTTGTTAAACTTGTGTGCAATCCCTATTGTTACTTTTGCAAACAAACTATGCTTTAACTAAGCAAGTCTTAAACACAAAAGGGAAACAGTAGAGGTGCATGTTTGCTATACAGGGTTCATGTTGCTCAGTTTTTAGTTTTCTATGTTGTGTTTTGTATACTGTTGCATGTCTTATTCAATTATTTGCTTATCTGCCATGGTATTGTCGGTTCTTTTCGACTTATGAGTTTGAATGTCCCTTTGGTATCGTTCGACAATGACATACTAAACATTGGCTCTATTTCTGAGGTGAGCTAAAAGAGTAGTAAAATATTTCCTGACCAAAGACAATTAATGAGGCAGTGAAAGATCAACAGACAAAGACTAAACTGGGATCTGCATTTATTCATCAATAAATGTCTAAATATCCGCCGCTGTATCAGTAGCCGACCGTGCGAGGGCTGTATAGCCAGTCAAGGTCGTTAAAAAATCCCATCATCATCTGTATCAACAAGAATATTTGAACTGAACAGAAGAAAAAAGTTCCGTGACTTTTTAAAGTGTAATGACAGTGTTCGAAAAGGTTAAAAGTTGGCCAACCAGCACAAAACCCATATTTAATCTGTAAGTATCATAAGAAAAAGGTAATCTTCCCTGAAGCCATTCAACAAGTACACATTTAAACAAATTGAATACAAATAAATTTACTTAATATAAATCTTCACTCTTAAAAATAAATATATCAATGGTTTTCTTTTTATGTATAAAATATTTTCTTTGAAAACATTTCTTTCAACATTTTCTCTAAAAATATCAATATTTTTCCGAGTATTTAATCTATGGGATAAATAATTACATGATATGGTACCTAAATAACGGAATGTTTTCTTTATGAGATTTGAATGGCGTCTCGGAACAAATAATTAAGTTTCCATTATTTGATATGAAAGAATATTTTGTTAAAATTTTGATAGTGCATGACATGCTTTGTTTTGTTTTATATACGCCATATATATTCGGCAAAAACACCAAGAGCTGATGCTGGAACTGTTTAAATAAGCCGAATAAAAACAAACGCTCTGATCTATTGTTATGAAGTTTCTAAATCTAATGGCTGCATTAAAGTAGATCAATAAAAAATAAACTTACAGATGATATTTAACTTACTAATACAGTATATCAAATCATTTTCGAGTCGGATTTTGTTCTCGGTTTAGGCCTTAGATGGGATAGTTATATCTTCGTTGTTCTCGGTTAAGGCCTTAGATAGGACGGTTATATCTTCCTTGTGTTCTCGGTTTAGGCCTTAAATGGCACGGTTATATCTTCGTCGTGTTCTCGGTTAAAGCCTTAGATAGGATGTTTATATCTTTGTTGTGTTCTCGGTTTAGGCCTTAGATGGCACGGTTATATCTTCGTCGTGTTCTCGGTTTAAGCCTTAGATAAGATGTTTATATCTTTGTTGTGTTCTCGGTTTAGGCCTTAAATGGGATGGTTATATCTTCGTTGTGTTCTCGGTTTAGGCCTTAGATGGGCGGTTATATCTTCGTTGTGTTCTCGGTTTAGGCCATAGATGAGACGGTTCTATATTCGTTGTGTTCTCGGTTTAGGCCTTAGATGGGACGGTTATATCTTCGTTGTTCTCGGTTTAGGCTTTAGATGGGACGGTTATATATTCGTTGTGTTCTCGGTTTAGGCCTTAGATGGGACGGTTATATCTTCGTTGTTCTCTGTTTAGGCCTTAGATGGGACGGTTATATATTCGTTGTTTTCGGTTTAGGCCTTAGATGGGACGGTTATATATTCGTTGTGTTCTCGGGTTAGGCCTTAGATGAGACGGTTATATCTTCTTTGTGTTCTCGGTTTAAGCCTTAGATGGGATGGTTATCTTCGTTGTTCTCGGTTTAGGCCTTAAATGGGACGGTTATATGTTCGTTGTGTTCTCGGCTAAGGCCACAGATTGGACGGTTATATCTTCGTTGTGTTCTCTAGTTAGGCCTTAGATAGTACGGTTCTATCTTCGTTGTGTTCTCGGTTTAGGCCTTAGATGGGATGGTTCTTTCTTCGTTGTGTTCTCGGTTTAGGCCTTAGATAGGACGGTTATATCTTCGTTGTGTTCTCGGTTTAGGCCATAGATTGGACGGTTATATCTTCGTTGTGTTCTCTGGTTAGGCCTTAGATGGTACGGTTGTATCGTCGTTGTGTTCCTTTTTCGCCTAGCATGGCCTTGTACAATTATTTAAATTATGAATGAAATGTTCGTGTCAGGTTAGTTCTGCTTTTAAGTTTCTACTTAAAAAGTTAGACACAAGCGAATATTTCCTGATATACGCTATAATGTGTATCAATTTAAAATATAAAACAATGGCTGATAACAATTAAACAATATATCTCACTTTCTTGAATTTTTTGGTCAATTGCAACTAACTCAAAAAAGGAAATAACACTGGACATATTAACAATAAAACAATACAGCACTAAAATAATTATAATATAAAATAAGAAGAGACTATAACGGAGCCTAAATCGATCACTCATCTGGTAAAAGTATGTAATACTGATATTAATTTATTTCAAATATACAGTATTTTGAGATTGCTAAAGTGAAATGAAGGTACAACTATTTACTAAATCTTACACCCCTTATTCTCATGCCAAACAAGAAAAGCCCTCCCTTAAGCAGTCATTATAATATATATTTTACTTTAAATCCATCCTCTCGAAACTGTTTAAAAACAACCAGGACAATTACATAAACAATAAAAGGCTTCCCTTCAAATGTGCTTCATGTTGTCTTAGATTAAACAACTACAAACATCATATTCTTTCGGACCCGATTCTTTGGCTGAAAAAAAGAAGAAATATTACTCAAAATATAAAGATATATAATAGCCATGTATAAAATATAAATAAATACATATTATTGAACTGATTTTAACATTCCGAACAATTGTTCTTGTAAGAGAATCACCCATTGTGTTCTCAAAATAAAGACCAAATATAAAAATAAGATGTGGTATAATTGCCAATGAGACAACTCCCCACCAGAGACCAAATGACATAGACGTTTACAACTATAGGTCACCGTACGACCTTCAATAATGAGCAAAACCCATAGTCAGCTATAAAAGGCCCCGATATGAACAGTGTAAAACAATTCAAACGAGAAAACTAACGGCCTGATTTATGTACAAAATAATGAACAAAAAACCAATATGATATACAGCAACAAACGACAACTGAACTACAGGTTCCTGACTTGGGACAGGCACATACAGAATGTGGCGGGGTTAAACCAGTTTGTAGGCGCCAACACCCCCCCCCCCTAAACATGGGACCGTGGTGTAACAGTACAACATAAGAACAAATTATAAAAATCAATTGAAAAGGGCTCAACTCATCAGATCGATACAAGCAGAAAACATCTAACGAAAACACAGCACGGACGTGGCAGCGTATCTATACACCCCACAACAAAAAAGACACTAAGTAAAGATTTGAGAGTACTCGCACTTACTGACAGCTAGTTCAAAGCCAATAACAACTTATAAAAAGATCATGTATCTAAGAATAAAATATCAACCAGTATACAAATCCAACATCAATGGATTTAGTGTAACGATGTCATTAACAGTCAGAGACAAAAAAAACCATGACATTGTGCAATGCCAAAATATAGGTATCGACATATTGTAGTACCGTGAATGTGCATATGTGTATAACAAAAATATTTAGTATTGTTTTTAATTTACTGACCCCCCCCCCCCCCCCCCCCCCCCCCCCAAAAAAAATAAAAACAATATTCAAAGATCAAATTACAGTGTTGAATTAGTAACCTTTTATACACATATTATTGAACTGATTTTAACATTCCGAACAAATTATATTGTAAGAGAATCACGCATTGTGTTCTCAACATAAAAACCAAAATCTGTTTTCACTAACTTGTTAAAGCGAATACTTCTATAACAAATGTTTGCTATACCCTTTTCTCACGTTGAATAATTATTCGTTTGAATAACATTTTCATACTTATAAATAAAGACAACCGGCAAAACTCCTGATATACATATATCTTTTTTGGGAAAATATTTATTTCAAAGTTAATCCATAAACATGATAGAGGTATTGTTTGTAGTTTTTATTCGAGTGCCGCTGATGGGTCTTATGTAGACGAAACGCGTGTCTAGCTTAGAAAATTGTAAGCACTGTATTTTTAATGAGCTTTTACAAGTATTGGGACGATTTCACTGGTGGTGCGTCCTGGAGGGCATCACCAGCCAAGTAGTCTTCTGAAATATCATTGATACGGCCATTATCTGTAAATTTATTCTTTATAAAATGTTGAATCATTCGAAACACTTAAGGTTTTTTCTTCTCCCAGGCATAGATAGCCTGAACCGTATTTGGTACAAATGTTCGCAATTTGATGGTTTCAATGCATTCAGCTTTTTTTAATGACCTTCTAACTGTTTTGATTCTAGAACCAGTGACGAGACTTAAAATACGGATATGGTATAATGAAATGTGTTTTAAGACACGTTGGGAAATCAATTCAAATTAAGGAACATATCTCCTTCATTTATAGCTCTGATTCATTGTTCGAGGTCTGGCTATGCCTTTGGTCCTTTTTGGCTTAGCAGTTCTTTAACGTTTGTATAAGTTTTTGATTATCATTGAGGATTATCATTTGTTGAAATTCTCATGTGATGCAGCAAAACTGATACTGTTAATGTAACGCACGTCTTGCTTACCAAATTGTAAGCCTGGTATCTTTGGTGAGATTTGTTAAGCCTCCTACAACTTTCAAGCTTTATTATGGAGGGTCTTAACTTAAGTTGTGCATAATATCAGGATTTGTACTTTTATTATATTTTCTGATAATTACAAGATAGTGAGCTCTGTCAATTTGTAGTGAAATTATGCAAGCGAAAAACATGGTTCGTCCAGCTGTCTCCTCTTATATATTTCAAGCTTGGACTTATTTTCATGATTATGCAGATTTTTTCTAGAAAGGGTGATCATCTTATCAGGATTTTGATTGCTTTAAATTTCAAACAAATGACAGGATGATGACCTTTTGTTTGAGTGAAATTATGCAGGAATGGTTTGATTGATTTGATTTTGATTTATGTGTTTTTAACGCCACTTTTAAGCACCGCTTTTGGGCTATTTCGTGGCGGCCAGTTTTTATTGGTAGAGGAATCCGGAGTGCCCGGAGAAAACCACCGACCTTCGATAGGAAAACTGACAATCCTAGTCAATTAAGATTGGAGTCGAGTGCACCCGCACGAGCGGGGTTCGAACTCACAACCTCAGTGTTGACTGGCTAGTGAATACAGTAGTAACTACTTAGACCACTCGGCCACCGAGGCCCCAGACATGGTTTGATTAGTCAACTTCTTCAATAGTTTTCAAGAAACAACTTTCATGTTTATGGTTGTAGATATATTCAAAAAAGTTAATTTTCTCGGAATTGTTTAGTCTTCAAATTTTCCGCCAATGACAGGGATGTTCAAAGTTATTATCTTTATGCACCGTGACGTAAAGTCCAGTTGTTATTTTTCTATATGACATAATTATGTTAAATGCATTTAGGATGATTTTTCAATAAATAAATAAACTGAATGTTTTAAGTTAGTTTTATGTCGTTCCAAAATTCACAAAGAACAGTTCTTAGCATGACACCTAACATGTACATGTTGAATTATCAACATTCACATATTACCCCCTGTTAACTTTGCAAAATTTGAGTAATAAATTTGAAAGGAATAGAAATGTATTGTCCTACAAAAGAAAAGCATAACATTTTCAAAGGAGCATCACATGCCTTACGCAATGTATCTTCTTTGTTTAGTTAATAAAAGTATCAAAATCATCCATGAAAATTTCTCCTGTAACATTTACGTTGGAGTGCGTCTCAAAAAGTAGATATTTTGGTTAAACAGCAAAGCTACATAACATTATCATTGAAACAGATGGAAAAATGACAATATGTCTAAAACTGAAAGGAGCAGTTTCACAAAGGGACAATATTGTCCCTAAAATTCCCTGAAATTTAACTTCAGTAATAATGGTAAATATTAGATAACAAAATATGTAAATTTGTCTGCTAAATACAAAACCAACAAGCTTTGACGCTTTAGAACACATAGGATGTCATTGTGACGTCACAAATTTGCACATTCATAAAGGAAATATTAATTTGACAAATTGTTTGCCTAAATTTTAATAGTTTTTGCATCAAACGACATTGGCCACATGCATGAACCACCACATTTTGTTTTGTTTGAATGTGTATCTGACCCAATTACATCTTTTTATAACAATCTTATTTTGGCCAAAGAGTGTGACCATTGGGCAATCTGGTAAAACCACTTGTAACATACTATACTTTTGAAGCGAACAGTGGACAGAAAAAGGGTCAAATTTGTTTAAATTTGCATATTGAAGATAGTTAAATAAATTTGGGTATCTACCTACATATGATATTACAAAATTTTAATGTCAAAATAAAGGCCTTCGTGACCCTACTTATTTGCTTTAATCAAGTCTTTAAAGTAAGAAAAAAGCTATTGCTATTTCTTTGAATATTCTTCCAAAGTTATCACTATAGACCTATGACCATTGTCCGATGCAATGTCCAGCGGAGATTTCCCATCAGTCCGTTGCATGCCTATGTTAGCACTTCTCTCTAACAATAAACAAACAATATCCTCATGTCCGACTTCACATGCATAGAATAACGGTGTCGTTTCATCAGCTTTTGTAACGTTCACATTTAGATTGTGGTCCAGGAGGACTTTGACTACTTCTTTATGTCCCATGAAACTAGCAAGGTGTAGTGGGTATGAACCAGCGAACATATCAAAAACATATTCTGGTAATGCATTTTTAACGAACTCTTTAGCAACTAATGAACCGTATTTATTTGCAACTTTCAGCCAACTTTGTTGTACACTTTTAATTGTCTTTAAAGGATGTTCAGCAATGAAATCTACTATTAACTGTTTGCTTTGTAGGCATTTATTACAGTCAGCTCCTTTAGCTAATAAAACCTCCACAATATCTGCAAAACCATTACGGGTGGCCGTCAAAAGCGGATTGTCGCCATCATACATCTGTGCATTTATGTCCGCGTTATGTTCAATTAATAAACGGACAACATCAGAATGATTTGTCTGAGAGGCAATTCTAAGAGGTGTACCACCGACACTGTCACTCAAATTGATGTTTGCTTTCTTTTTCAGTAACGTTCTAACGATGTCTGTGTGACCATCTTGCGCTGCCATGAAAAGCGGAGTTACGCCATTGGCTCTACTTACATTGACAATACCATTGTTATCCAACAACCACTCCACTATATCAGAATAACCACCACGACATGTCTTTATAAGAGGTGTATTGCCTGCTGCAAAGTCTTCTCTTTCATTATCACTCTTATTGGCTAGATCACTTCGTTGAGACTTACTAAGTTGGTCAAGATTATGCAACAAATGTTGCCTAAATTCAGGAATTCTCATGCTATCATTGTAGAAAACATTTGTGACTTTCCCGTCTGACCAATCTGAAATCAGTCTTTTTAAATAAGATTGGAGGTTTTGATCAGGAAGTGTTATTGTAAACTCGACATCGTTTTTGTGATCCTCTTTTTTTGCCTTCCATACGATACGTTCACGTAAGAAACCACTGTCTCCATGCTTTATGATTAAATGTATCATCTTTAGACCAAAGTAGTGAGCGAAGAAGTCAAATAACCTGTCATGCAAACTACTATAAACATTATTCTCTTCAGAAATATAGGTACCAACTAAAGTATCAATAGCAGCTTTCAGCTTAATTCTAGATGTTCCTCTTTTCAGTTCACAAGCTTCAAAAGTGTCATCCAGGAGTTTTCTTTGTTCGTCTGTAATTTCTCCTGAAAAAAATTTTCCATCCAGTTTGTTATTATAGAGGACTATCATTACTAAGGAACAAATTTCCATCAACCCTTGTTTTCCAGAACAATATAATCTATCTAGTTCGTTTTTATACAATTCAAAGGGACTTTTGAAAAACATGTGCACGTCCATATCCGGTTTCCGATGACATAAAGAACAGAGAAGTGGGAAAGATTGTTCTGACACTTCAATTAAGTCCAATTCATCCATATGTTTACCAAAATATGATTCTGCCATGCTGGTTTTTTCTGATCCTGTTAAACGCAATTCGTCGGATATCAAGTTGCATTCACAGGACTTGAATGGTTGAGATAATACTCCAAAATGTCTGTCCTTATAAACTTGTAACCGGCACGTTACAATAATCTTGCAACAGTTATCTTCTACTATTGTTTTAATCAAAGGTAACAACTGTTGCCACTTTTCAATCTGTTGTTGGCTAGCAGTGAATTTTCCACAGATATCATCTACAACAAAAACTGTCTTCCTACCAGGTTGGTAATAATTTCTAATGTCTGTTGACTCTATCACTGGTATTATTTTGTACCCGTCTTTCTGCAAAATCAGCGCAACATGTCGGGAAATAAATGTTTTTCCTACACCGGCACTGCCTGTTATGGTCACACAATTGTTGTCCTGTACACAGACTCTGACATGTTCACTGCCCCTTGTAGATACAAATGATCTGTCTTTGAGGATCCATTCCTTAATCTGTAATCCCATTTGAGCTGAGAAAAGAAAACATCGAACTTTACACATAACATTCAACAATGTTCTGTTCATTTTTGTATGTTTCCTTTTGAACATGGTGCTAAACCTATGATTTTTTCTTATCCTTTACTAATTATTTCAAAGAAAACAGTACGATACCAGGTTAATAATCAACAAATCAGTAAATAATCAGAATAAGAAAGAAATTTAAAAAAAAAAAATGAAAATTCATCAAAAGTTCTTTTTAAATAATGATAACAGATATGTTGATATGGCAATTTCCTCTTGTTCATTTACTAGTATATCAAGTATAATTCAGATATTCCACAAATATACATACGAGATAGATCAGACTTTATGTATTGGTAAAATAGACAGAAATGGCCCATTTAAGTCCGATTAATGAATAAAATGAAACCCAATTACCTCGTATATGTTCAGGAATAACTTCTTGAAGTTCACTTTGTATCTTTGTTAAGTTCTTATCTATTTGGGATATCATGTCTTGTCCTAAATGAGAATAATAAAAAAGAAATAGTTTTCATATACATTCCCTACTTCCATCAATTGCATTTACTCATTTCTTATTTATGTTGTTGTTTGTTTGTGTTTCTTTTTTAATTATATTGTTTAAGTGTTATACACATGTATGCCTTCCTGGGGCCTTAATTTGGCGAATAATAATACTCTAATCAATTCTATTTAAAAGCATCACTGTTTATAATGGCATGCTTCTGTGGTTGTGGGAGACATGATACAACTATATAAACAAATAAGGATTTCTATTGGGTTATTTCCTATGAGCGAAATGTTCAGATTGAATCATTATATTAAGGAAAATGCTAAGTAGAAAAAAAAGGTGGATTGTGTCCACATGTGGACACAGATCATGCCCCCGCTTGCATATCATATAGTTATAAAGGGACATAACTGAAGAATGGTAAAAGTGACGCTACCCAAATTTGAACTTGATCTGAGTTTTGTGGTAATAAGCATTGTGTGTAAGTCTCATAACATTTGGTTGAGGCTAACTTAAGTAGAGAACAGAAACGAAAAATTCAGCAATTTTTCAATTTGTAAACACGCATAACTCTAGAACGGTTGTGTATAAGTTTTATAACATTTGGTTGAGACAAACCAAAGTTAGAAAACGGAAACGAAAAATTCAGCAATTTTTATGTTTATAAAGGGACATAACTCAAAAATGGAAAAAAAGTGACGCCACCGAATTTCGTACGTAATCTGTTTTATGTAGTAATAAGCATTGTGTATAAGTTTCATAATATTTGGTTGAGGCAAACTAAAGTTAGAGAACGGAAACAATATTTGTACTTGATCTTAGTTTTGTGGTAATGAGTATTGTGTATAGGTTTCATCATGTTTGGTTCGGGCAAACTTAAGTTACAGAATGGAAACTAAAAATTTTGCGATTTTTCGATTTATAAAGGGGCATAACTCAATAATGGTTAAAGTGACACTACCCAAATTCAACTTGATCTGTGTTTTATCAGTGGAAGTCAAAATTAAACATTGCATTGTATAAAGCATTGATTGTAGTTGATTTAACTATAATCATGGACAAAGGAAGATAACTCCAATTTCAATAAAATGCTCCGCTGGGCGCAACTTGATACGACCGCAGAGGTCGAACCCTGAAAGTTGGGGCAAGTATGGACACAACATTCAAGCTTGATACAGCACTGAATTTGGATTGTGATTAAATATTTGACACAGCATAGGTTTCTGACACAGAATGAATGTGGTCTAAGAACTTAAAAAAATTTAATTTACCTATTCAAACCTTATCATTATTATTTGCTTTTATATATAAATCAGAAATAACCAATTTAAAATGGAAAATTTTTGAGAAAAACAAAGGAAACCCTCCCCCCTCCTCAAATTTTTGAACCCCCTTATGATTCATCACCCCCAAACTCAATCCCAGCCTTCCCTTTGTGGTATGGTACCTTGCAGTACAATTTCAGAGAGATCCATACACATGAACACAAGTTATTATCTGGAAACTAGAAAAATGCTTGTTTTTTTGGCCCCTTTTTGGCTCCAAATTCCTATAAACATTTAGGGCAATTACCCCCAAACTCAAACCCAGCTTTTCCTTTGTGATATGGAACCTTGTAGTACAATTTCATAAAGATCCATACACATAAACACAAGTTATTGTCCTGAAACTAGAAAAATGCTTGTTTATTGCCCCTTTTGACCCCTAATTCCTAAAATTTAGAGGCAATTACCCCCAAAATCAATCCCAGCCTTCCCTTTGTGATATGGTACCTTGCAGTACAATTTCAGAGAGATCCATACACTTGAACACAAGTAATTGTCTGGAAACTAGAAAAATGCTTATTTTTGGCCCCTTTTTGGCCCCTAATTCCTAAAACTTTGAGGCAATTACCCCCAAAATCAATTCAAACATTTCCTTTGTGATATGGAACCTTGCAGTACAATTTCAGAGAGATCCATACACTTGAACACAAGTTATTGTCTGGAAACTAGAAAAATGCTTATTTTTGGCCCCTTTTTGGCCCCTTATTCCCAAACGTTTCGGGCAATTACCCCCAAACTCAATTCCAGCTTTCCTTTTGTAATATGGAACATTGTAGTACAATTTCAGAAAGATCCATAGACTTACACACAAGTTATTGTCATGAAACTAGAAACATGCTTGTTTTTGGCCCCTTTTTTGGCCCCTTATTCCTAAAATTTTGAGGCAATTACCCCCAAAATCAATCAAAGCATTCCCTTTGTGATATGGAACCTTGTGGTACAATGTCAGAGAGATCCATACACTAACACACACGTTATGTCTGGAAGTTACAAAAATGCTTATTTTTGGCCCCTTTTTGGCCCTTTAATTCCTTAACTCCTAGTACCATAACCCCCAAAATCAATCCCAACCTTTTTTGTGTGGTATTGAACCTTATGGTAAAATTTCATAGAGATCCATCAACTTAAACTAAAGTTAGAGTGCGAAAACCAATGTGTCTTCGGACGACGACGACGACTACGCCAACGTCATACCAATATACGACCGCAAAATGTTTTTGCGGTCGTATAAAAATTACTATAATAATGACATTGATATTTTTGGAAATGGTAAAAGTGACGCCATCGAATTTCGTACGTAATCTGTATTATGTATTATTAATTAACTACTCTGTTATTGGACTTAATATGATGAAAACTGCCTATGCAATATAAAAGTGTCAACTCGGCCAATACAGAATAACTCGGCCAATATTGATTTTTTTCTGTATTGGCCGATTTCTGATCCGGCCAATACAGGATTTCGGAACGTCTCTAGTTTTTAGATCGAAAGTCATGATAAACACAAACTTAAAGTAAACAGTCGTTAGGAAGACGCAGTTTTCATTTACTCACCATAAACATGCCGAAACGTTCAGTGTGGCATATATTTCAGGCTGAAGAGGGTCACATTCATTTGAAAAGCATTTTGTAAGCAGGCAATTGAATTATTTCAGGTTTGGGCAACGAGTAGTTTATCACAAAGTTCATTTCTTGTCGACCTCAGGTACAACCGATAATTTTACTGTTTACTTTCGCTTCTCATGTTTTGTAAACTGTCATTTATTTTTCAACCCGAACCAGGCATATGCATTATGGAAGGGTGACAAATCTTGGGTCAGTTGCCTTATGCAAAGTTGTATCATTTTCAATCATATTCAACTCCTACATTCTTTTTTAAAATATTTTTTTCTGCATTACACATGAAATGGCAGTACCTTTCCAATTACTATTTATGTGTTGCGTCTAAATATGAACTGTAACACTTTATAGTGACTGGTAAGGGTAGAAAAATTCATCAGATGAGAAAATGTAGAAGACGCCTGGAAACAGCACCAGATCATTTGATATTGCAGCTTATATATAAACATGATAAATGGGAACTCAGATTTGGATAGTTCCACTTCAAGGTAAAAAATGTTTATCTCTTGTGGTATATAAAACAATGTTAACAATGTAGTTAATTAATAAAGGTATCATTACGTGTATTTCTGTATTGGCCTTGTTATTGGTCCTTGGCCAGCTGTATTGGCCTTCGGCTTCGCCTCAGGCCAATACAGCAAGCCTCGGACCAATAACAAGGCCAATACAGAAATACTCACGTAATAATACCATAGTAATAAGCATTGTGTATAAGTTTCATAATATTTGGTTGAGGCAAACTAAAGTTAGAGAACGGAAACAATATTTGTACTTGATCTTAGTTTTGTGGTAATGAGTATTGTGTATAGGTTTCATAACGTTTGGTTCGGGCAAACTTAAGTTACAGAATGGAAACTAAAAATTTTGCGATTTTTCGATTTATAAAGGGGCATAACTCAATAATGGTTAAAGTGACACTACCCAAATTTAACTTGATCTGTGTTTTATCAGTGGAAGTCAAAATTAAACATTGCATTGTATAAACCATTGATTGTAGTTGATTTAACTATAATCATGGACAAAGGAAGATAACTCCAATTTCAATAAAATGCTCCGCTGGGCGCAACTTGATACGACCGCAGAGGTCGAACCCTGAACAGTTGGGGCAAGTATGGACACAACATTCAAGCTTGATACAGCACTGAATTTGGATTGTGATTAAATATTTGACACAGCATAGGTTTCTGACACAGAATGAATGTGGTCTAAGAACTTAAAAAAAATTAATTTACCTATTCAAACCTTATCATTATTATTTGCTTTTATATATAAATCAGAAATAACCAATTTAAAATGGAAAATTTTAAAGAAAAACAAAGGAAAACCCCCTCCCCCCCACATTTTTGAACCCCCTTATGATTCATTACCCCCAAACTCAATCCCAGCCTTCCCTTTGTGGTATGGTACCTTGCAGTACAATTTCAGAGAGATCCATACACTTGAACACAAATTATTGTCTGGAAACTAGAAAAATGCTTGTTTTTTTGGCCCCTTTTTGGCCCCAAATTCCTATAAACATTTAGGGCAATTACCCCCAAACTCAAACCCAGCTTTCCCTTTGTGATATGGAACCTTGTAGTACAATTTCATAAAGATCCATACACTTAAACACAAGTTATTGTCCTGAAACTAGAAAAATGCTTGTTTATTGCCCCTTTTGGCCCCTAATTTCTAAAATTTAGAGGCAATTACCCCCAAAATCAATCCCAGCCTTCCCTTTGTGGTATGGTACCTTGCAGTACAATTTCAGAGAGATCCATACACTTGAACACAAGTTATTGTCTGGAAACTAGAAAAATGCTTATTTTTGGCCCCTTTTTGGCCCCTAATTCCTAAAATTATGAGGCAATTACCCCCAAAATCAATCCAAACCTTTCCTTTGTGATATGGAACCTTGCAGTACAATTTCAGAGAGATCCATACACTTGAACACAAGTTATTGTCTGGAAACTAGAAAAATGCTTATTTTTGGCCCCTTTTTGGCCCCTTATTCCTAAACGTTTTGGGCAATTACCCCCAAACTCAATTCCAGCTTTCCCTTTGTGATATGAAACATTGTAGTACAATTTCAGAAAGATCCATAGACTTACACACAAGTTATTGTCATGAAACTAGAAACATGCTTGTTTTTGCCTCTTTTTTGGCCCCTTATTCCTAAAATATTGAGGCAATTACCCTCAAAATCAATCAAAGCATTCCCTTTGTGATATGGAACCTTGTGGTACAATGTCAGAGAGATCCATACACTAACACACAAGTTATGTCTGGAAGTTACAAAAATGCTTATTTTTGGCCCCTTTTTGGCCCTTAATTCCTTAACTCCTAGTACCATAACCTCCAAAATCAATCCCAACCTTTTTTTTGTGGTATTGAACCTTATGGTAAAATTTCATAGAGATCCATTTACTTAAACTAAAGTTAGAGTGCGAAAACCAATGTGTCTTTGGACGACGACGACGCCGGACTACGACGACGACGACGCCAACGTCATACCAATATACGACCGCAAAATGTTTTTGCGGTCGTATAAAAATTACTATAATAATGACATTGATATTTTTGGGAAAAAAATGAAAAATTTAGCCATTTTTCCATTTGTAAAGGGGCATAACTCTAGAACAGTAAAAGTGACGCCCCCAAAATTCAAATTTGATCTGTGTATTGTGGTATTAAGCATTGTGTATAAGTTTCATAACATTTGAATGAGGCAAACTTAAGTTAAAGAAAGGAAATGAAAAATTTTGCAATTTTTCCAATTATAAAGGGGCATAACTCTAGAACGGTAAAAGTGACGCCACCAAAATTCAAACTTGATCTGTGTTTTGCGGTAATAAACATTGTGTATAAGTTTGATAACATTTGGTTAAGAAAAACTTAAGTTAGAGAACGGAAACCAATTTAGGGACGTACGAACGGACGTTCGTACGTACGTACGGACAAGGGTAAAACTTAATGCCCCCTCCACTTCGGCGGGGGCATAAAAAAATGGGGAATGTGTTCTTGGGACACAGATAATGCCCCCGCTTGAAATAACGTTATAAAGAGACATAACTCAAGAACGGTACATGTGACGCTACCCAAATCGTATTTGATCTGAGTTTTGTAGTAATAAATATTGTGTATAAGTTTCATAACATTTGGTTGAGGCAAACTTAAGTTAGAAAACGGAAACGAAAAATTCAGCAATTTTTATTTTTATAAAGGGACATAACTCAAGAATGGTAAAAGTGACGCCACCGAATTTCGTACGTAATCTGTATTATGTAGTAATAAGCATTGTGTATATGTTTCATAATATTTGGTTGAGGCAAACTAAAGTTAGAGAACGGAAACAATATTTGTACTTGATCTTAGTTTTGTGGTAATGAGTATTGTGTATAGGTTTCATAATGTTTGGTTCGGGCAAACTTAAGTTACAGAATGGAAACTAAAAAATTTTGCGATTTTTCGATTTATAAAGGGGCATAACTCAATAATGGTTAAAGTGACACTACCCAAATTCAACTTGATCTGTGTTTTATCAGTGGAAGTCAAAATTAAACATTGCATTGTATAAAGCATTGATTGTAGTTGATTTAACTATAATCATGGACAAAGCAAGATAACTCCAATTTCAATAAAATGCTCCGCTGGGCGCAACTTGATACGACAGCAGAGGTCGAACCCTGAACAGTTGGGGCAAGTATGGACACAACATTCAAGCTTGATACAGCACTGAATTTGGATTGTGATTAAATATTTGACACAGCATAGGTTTCTGACACAGAATGAATGTGGTCTAAGAACTTAAAAAAATTTAATTTACCTATTCAAACCTTATCACTATTATTTGCTTTTATATATAAATCAGAAATAACCAATTTAAAATGGAAAATTTTAAAGAAAAACAAAGGAAAAAAAATCCCCCTCCCAAATTTTTGAACCCTCTTATGATTCATTACCCCCAAACTCAATCCCAGCCTTCCCTTTCTGGTATGGTACCTTGCAGTACAATTTCAGAGAGATCCATACACTTGAACACAAATTATTGTCTGGAAACTAGAAAAATGCTTGTTTTTTTGGCCCCTTTTTGGCCCCAAATTCCTATAAACATTTAGGGCAATTACCCCCAAACTCAAACCCAGCTTTTCCTTTGTGATATGGAACCTTGTAGTACAATTTCATAAAGATCCATACACTTAAACACAAGTTATTGTCCTGAAACTAGAAAAATGCTTGTTTATTGCCCCATTTGGCCCCTAATTCCTTAAATTAAGAGGCAATTACCCCCAAAATCAATCCCAGCCTTCCCTTTGTGGTATGGTACCTTGCAGTACAATTTCAGAGAGATCCATACACTTGAACACAAGTTATTGTCTGGAAACTAGAAAAATGCTTATTTTTGGCCCCTTTTTTCCTAAATGATTTGGGCAATTACCCCCAAACTCAATTCCAGCTTTTCCTTTGTGATATGGAACCTTGTAGAACAATTTCATAAAGATCCATAGAATTACACACAAGTTATTGTCATGAAACTAGAAAAATGCTTGTTTTTTGCCATTTTTTTGGCCCCTAATTCCTAAAATTTTGAGGCAATTACCCCCAAAATCAATCCAAACATTCCCTTTGTGATATGAAACCTTGCAGTACAATTTCAGAGAGATCCATACACTTGACAACAAGTTATTGTCTGGAAACTAAAAAAATGCTTATTTTGGGCCCCTTATTCCTAAAATTTTGAGGCAATTACCCCCAAAATCAATCAAAGCATTTCCTTTGTGATATGGAACCTTGTGGTACAATGTCAGAGAGATCCATACACTAACACACAAGTTATGTCTGGAAGTTACAAAAATGCTTATTTTGGCCCCATTTTGGCCCTCAATTCCTTAACTCCTGGTACTATAACCCCCAAAATCAATCCCAACCTTCCTTTTGTGGTATTGAACCTTATGGTAAAATTTCATAGAGATCCATTAATTTAAACTAAAGTTAGAGTGCGAAAACCAATGTGTCTTCGGACGACGACGACGCCGGACGACGACGACGACGGCAACGTCATACCAATCTACGACCGCAAAATTTTTTGCGGTCGCATAAAAATTACTTTAATAATGACATTGATATTTTTGGAAAAAAAAATGAAAAATTTAGCCATTTTTCCATTTGTAAAGGGGCATAACTCTAGAACAGTAAAAGTGACGCCCCCAAAATTCAAACTTGATCTGTGTATTGTGGTATTAAGCATTGTGTATAAGTTTCATAACATTTGGATGAGGCAAACTTAAGTTAGAGAACGGAAATGAAAAATTTTGCAATTTTTCCAATTATAAAGGGGCATAACTCTAGAACGGTTAAAGTGACGCCACCAAAATTCAAACTTGATCTGTGTTTTGCGGTAATAAACATTGTGTATAAGTTTGATAACATTTGGTCAAGACAAACGTAAGTTAAGAGAACGGAAACCAATTTAGGGACGTACGGACGGCGTTCGTACGTACGTACAGACAAGGGTAAAACTTAATGCCCCCTCCGCTTCGGCGGGGGCATAAAAAAATGGGGAATGTGTCCTTGGGACACAGATAATGCCCCCGCTTGAAATAACGTTATAAAGAGACATAAATCAAGAACGGTACATGTGACGCTACCCAAATCGTATTTAATCTGAGTTTTGTGGTAATAAATATTGTGTATAAGTTTCATAACATTTGGTTGAGGCAAACTTAAGTTAGAAAACTGAAACGAAAAATTCAGCAATTTTTCAATTTGTAAAGGGACATAACTCTAGAAAGGTAAAAGTGACGCCACCCAAATTCAAACTTGATCTGTGTTTTGTTGTTATAAGCATCGTGTATAAGTTTCATAACATTTAGTTAGAGAACGGAAACCAATTCTGGGACGTACGAACATACGGACGGACAATCAGACGGACAAGGGCAAAACTTAATGCTCCCTCTGCTACGGCGGGTGCATAAAGAAACTTTTCCAACGTCTTAACAGATATTTTCTCTGTGATACTGGTATTTGTCATAAATAATAACAGATTAGTCTTCTAAATCTTGACCTTATATGAAATACAAGTTACTGAAGTCAAAGGAAGTATACGGGTGAACAACACCATAAAAACAATATGCAGATATTTACCTTGTTCCTTCTTCCTATATCTTTCTCTCAATTTTATCATTCCTGTTAATATAATAAGGTGTATGTACAAAATTATTCAAATATGATTTGACGACTTTGCACAATAAAACATTCTAACTGGATGATCTCGTGCATTATCAATAGTTAATTATGTAGTGGACAATTGACAGTTTTCATGTGCAACAATATAGCAGAATATTATTGATACTGAAAAGTACAACTATACACAGAAAATTTCACTCACGTGAATTTAGATTCATGTGAATCTGATGTGAAATTCACATGAATTTCACCTCAAACGAGCTTATACATGAAACTCATATGAACTAATTTCACATGAGTTTCACGTGAATCTAATGAAAAAGTCGCGTGAATTTCACGTGAAAATCACATGAAATTTTTTTCACATACAAATGCACTTGAATTTTCAAAATAAAGTTATTCCAATTACATCTAAATTTTCAAATTTGATTTAAAACATGAAAATACCATTTTTATTTTTGTAAAGTTCATGTGAAATTTACGTATGAGGTTGTTTGAGGTGAATTTCACGTGAGATCATGTGAAATTCACGTGAGCAAAATTTGCCTGTGCATACCAAAGGACAATTAAAGATTCACAAAAGAAAAGTCATACAAAAAAGAAAATAGATGAAAAACAAAGAAAACTGAACAAAGACCTTCGCTCTTCAACTTCGTACTTTATTTTGGCCTTCTGTACTTCTTTGATTCGAGCGTCACTGATGAGTCTTTTGTTATCAAATAGTCCGTTTCTATGTATGTTGGCATTTGTTTTTGTTGCAGTTCAGTGTTTCTGTTGTAAAGGTTGTTTTCCTCTTATAGTTGATGTGTTTCCTTCGGTTTTAGTTTGTTACCCGGATTTGTTTTTGCTTAATCGATTTATGACTATTGAACAGCGGTATACTACCGTTGCCTTTATTTTGTTGACGAAACGCGCATCTGGCGTACAAAATAATAAGCCTGGTGTGTATGATGACATTATTCACACAAGGCAAAAAATAAAGCAATATAAAGTCTTATTCCGTGCATTTTGTTCATAAATTACCTATATGACATAAATTCTTATCATGCGTTGTCACCTCCGTATTTTCAAGGTCATCTACAATCTGTTCATAAGATGCATATCGTAGAGCTTCTAGAAACAGATTGTAAGCGTTTTTATCTTTGTACAATAATTTAGCCAATAGACGTCTATTACTCTCTTGTCTAGTAAGGCTAAGAGTACATATTTCCTCTCGGTCTTCTGGTTCTAGGACTTCTGATTGTAGAAGATGGTCAACTACATCTGTTGTACAATCCATATCGTGTACCAACAGTTTGTAGTTTTTCTGTAATTTTATTGAATTTGCGTTAACATCTACAAAATAAAGAAAACATCTCAGTAACAGACAGTTACTGATACTATATAAGATGTTTGTCAGCTAAGGATCACGTACTATATAAGATGTTTGTCAGCCAAACATCAGCGTATGGATTTCAATAAAGAACTCGCGCCATTGATGGGTTCCAATTGTTACTAAACCAAATGTCACAAAATTAAAAAGAACTTATTGTGATGCGCATATCCAAATCACAATTCTAGTCACTCGTGCTCAAAATTAGTGTTAGAACCCAAAAGTATCAAATAACATTATCGGCACCAGATTTGCATTTCAAAAATTGATGTCACTTCGAAAGATCAATTATCTTCCAAAAACTTCGAAAAGGATTTCAAAACCAGCTGCGTTCTGTTAGGATCAACAGTTTTTCGAGGATATAATATTAAAATTAACACGAGTGTAATTTCGTATCCATTCCGAAAACATTTGTCTAGTCATTGAGGCGCAATACACAATATATGATCACAAAAGTACCAAAACCAGAAGATCGATAAACTCAAAAACAACACGTCAAAGCACGTCAAAACAAACTAATGCATACGTGAGTTTCCAGAGGATGACATTAGAATCCTACGGCTTATTGTCAATAAATATCAGTCAAGTATCGATATCTAAATAAAAAATGAACAGAATGATTTTGCATTGAACATCAAGGACAGAAATCCACATCAATTATAGTAGAGATGCTCCTGTGAGATTCAAATTAAGAACACGACAATCTTAGTTTGTGTACACTAAAAGCCTCTTCTATCGTAGCATTATGACAAACCCTTGTTTTCGTTAATTTTATATAAGATTTATGGTCAAACTAGCTTTTACTACTTACTAATTTCAGCATGTGAAAGATTGGAAGGTGCTTCACTGTTACTTATTCTAATTCCATTAAGTAGTTGTTGGACATCAGAAGTACACTGGTCTAATTGTATCAGGACATCTTTGAATAGCTGGAAAGTATCATATGGACGTTCCGTAAGGATTTCCAAAAGAACTTTATTACGTTCAAACTGTGTTGTCGGCTTAATTATTTCTTCTCTGTCCTCAATCATTATAATACATTTAGAAATAAGGTTATCCAAAACATGTTTGTCAAATACTGTTTTATGAGCTACTTTATCAAGATGAAGAGGATGTCCGTGTTGGGGTTGACCTGAAGATAAAATATACACAGCAATGTTAGATTAACAGAACGGGGGTTCTAGTATATATAAAACAGTTTGTCTGTGACTAACATAAGTAACAAGCAAAATTTGGAAAACAGTTTGACAGTTTTCAAACTTGAACAAAACCATTTGTATATGATCGAAAAGTGTGCCTATTCGTATTGTTAATCCTCTTACGAAAGGTTTTTGTTAAATTTCAAAGCGTTGCTCCCACCGCTAATCTAAAACCATGGGCTTTATTTTTTTCTTTTCTTTTAGTAAGTCTTTTCTTCTTTTTCATAAATGTCTATCCCTGGTTAAAAACCCTTGAAAATTCACGAGGAGGGTCAAATGGTTGACAGGTGTATTTAACACGCATCCGACCAACATAGAGATAGGAATCAATGCTTCTCCTCGGTCATTTGAAAAGCTTTTAATGGTCATTCGATCTAGCGGTATATGGTAAAGTGTATTAGGGAATTATTTGAAAATGATTTACTGGAATGATGTGGTTCCCTCACCAATACAAATGACCATTGTGAATTGTTTAAGTGTTCAGAAAAAAAGGAAAATTTTATTTAAGAAAGTGTAAGGTTACAATTCCTTTTATGGCTTTGAGTTAACATACCATTTGAAAAACACAATAAACCATTATATACATATATACAATGGTCGATTAAAAACTAACCTATGTTTGAACTAGACAAAGACTGTATTTCTGTCGATTTGTTGCTTTTTGACACTTTATCTTTATGGACTTCTGTTTGGACAGCAACACCATTTAATTCTATCGATCCGTGTTGAAGAACATCATTATTTGTCTCTGTTGATGTGCGAACAGAAATATCACTGGTGTCTGGCTTGATATCTGATGAGGCCATATCCGTGGGTTGTTTCAAGGGATTTTCTTTTGGATTTTTTTTTTTCTGATCTCTTAGCTGGGAAGTCCCAATTTAGTGAGTTGATTTTATAATATCTGCAAATAAAATGATAGTATTATATTACTTATGTCCAAATGATTGCTTTAAAAAGATATCTGTTATGTATTGCAAATGCTTACTCCGTTTATAAGTTTTTATATATTTTACACCTTTGAGTTATACATTTAATTCGTAGTCTTCTACATATACTTGTGATTTGCATTTTCCAGTATTTATTTATCAACATTACGCATAGTCAGTTTTTGCTGTTGTATGTTTGTTTTGTTTTACTGCTTCATTTGTTACGAAATGTTCAATTTGTATACCATGCAGTCTGAGGATCTGTCTGCTACAAACAAGTTCTAATTGGAAATAAGAAGATGTGGTATGAGTGTCAATGAGACAACTCTCCATCCAAGTCACAATGTATAAAAAGTAAACAATTATAGGTCAAAGTACGGCCTTCAACACGGAGCCTTGGCTCACACCGAACAGCAAGCTATAAAGGACCCCAAAATGACTAGTGTAAAACAATTCAAACAGGAAAACCAACGTTCTAATCTATATAAAACGAGAAACGAGAAACACTTATGAACCACATTAACAAACGACCACCACTGAACATCAGGTTCCTGACTTAGGACAGGTGCAAACAAATGCAGCGGGTTTAAACGTTTTAATATGCGCCAACCTTACTGTTGACTGCTGTACCCCAACTTTTGACATTTTTACCTATAATGTATGTTTGTTTTGCTCACACATTGTTGTCGATATAGTGGAGTTCTATGCAACTGTCATATAAGTGAGAGGTTAAGCTAGCTATAAAACCAGGTTTAATCCACCATTTTTTACCTAAAAAAAATGCCTGTACCAAGTCAGGAATATGATAGTTGTTTTCCATTCGTTTGATGTGTTTGAGCTTTTGATTTTGCCATTTGAAGGACTTTCCGTTTTGAATTTTCCTTAGAGTTCGGTATTTTTGTTATTTTACTTTTTTTTTTGTCCTACATGAAATTGAAATGATTCATTTCCGAAAGGATTTAAAAGTTTCTTTAAAACTTTTTGCACTACTGAGCTATATCTACTGATACATTGTTTGTTCCCTTCACTTCGGATAATTATGATATCTGCATTGTGATATGAACCGATTATCAGGTTTTCTGCATATTGATATTGTAAAACATCAACTGCGAGTCACTATATGGAGCTTTTTGTCGAGTAAGCGCAGTGAACGAGTTCAAAAATTAAGGCTTCATATTATGTCGGTATATTTTCTTCATAAAATTGAGAATGGAAATGGGGAATATGTCAAAGAGACAACAACCCCACCAATGGGTCTTCAATGCAGCGAGAAAATCCCGCATCCGAAGGTGGTCCTCAGCTGGCCCCTAAATAAAATTGTGTGCTAGTTCAGTGAAAATGGACGTCACACTAAACTCCAAAACATATAAATGAACTAAAATTAAAAAACATACTAGACTAACAAAAGGCCAGAGGCTCCTGACTTGGGACAGGCGCAAAAATGCGGCGGGGTTAAACATGTTTTGTGAGATCTCAACCCTCCCCCTATACCTCTAGCCAATGTATGATAAAGAAACACATAGCAATACGCACAGTAAAACTCGGTTTAAAAGAAGTCCGAATCCGATGTCAGAATAGGTAACAAAAGAAAGTAAGCAAAATGACAATGATACATAAATAAACAAAGGACTACTAGCAGTTACTGACATGCCAGCTCCAGACCTCAATTAAACTGATTGAAAGTTTATGTCTTCATCATATGAAAATCAAGTACAATCCCTCCCGTTAGGGGTTTAGTATCATACCATCATAAAATATATGAGAAGAACATAACCCGTATCATGCCAACAACTGGTTTTAGAATAAAAGTGTTTATTTCCGATGCAAAGACCCTATGAGTGAATGAATATTAATACCAAAATATGCAATCCTTAATGACTTGACAACAGTATCGTAACTATATCCTTTCCGAATAAGTCTGTTTAAAGGTTTGGTTGGCTTTTGAGGTGAATGCTGACATTTTTGTGCTTTATAAAGAACATTACCATAAAATATTGGATGTGAAATACCTGAACGTATAAGATGTCTGCATGTTGATTTATATTTACGAATGATGTCCTTGTACCGATGATAAAATTTAGTAAATGTCTTGACTAGTTTGTGATATCGAAAACCCTGGTGTAATAATTTTTCAGTAATACAGAGATTTCTTTCGTTGAAATCAAATACGTTGTTACATACACGAGCGAATCGAACAAGTTGAGATATATAAACACCATAAGATGGCGACAAGGGAACGTCACCATCTACAAATGGATAATTAACAATAGGAAATGAAAAATCATCTCTTTTATCATAAATTTTGGTATTAAGCTTCCCGTTAAAGATAAAGATATCAAGATCCAGGAAAGGGCAGTGTTCATTGTTAGTATTAGCTTTATTTAAAGTCAGTTCGGCAGGCTAAATTTCTTTAGTGTACATACTGAAGTCGTCATTATTGAGAGCCAATATATCATCTAAATATCTAAAAGTGTTATTTAATTTTTGAATCAGATGTTGTTTCGATGGGTCTTTGCTGATTTTAGTCATAAATTGTAACTCATAACAATACAGAAACAGGTCAGCAATAAGTGGTGCACAGTTAGTTCCCATGGGAATTCCGATAACCTTACGAAATACGGAATCTCCATAGCGAACAAAAATGTTATTTAGTAAAAAGTCAAGGGCAATTATAGTATCAAAGCAGGTCCAGTTGACGTAGTTCTTTTGTTTGTTGTTACTAAAAAATGACCTAAAAGAGTTTGAACATATATATATTCGCATTCCGACTTTTTAAATGCCCATTTAATTAGGTGTGTGATTTTTTTCTTAATAAGATTATGAGGCAAAGTAGTATGTAGGGTAGAAAAATCAAAACTTTGAACAGATTTGAAATCACCAATATAAGCATGCAATTTATCAAGTACTTCCAACGAATTTTTGACACTCCAAAAGTAATTAATTCCACTATTTTCAAAGGCCTTATTTGAACAATTTATTACCAGGTTTTTGATTGTACCAAGTGTACTAGTAAATAGAATAGATAGTTTAGTAGTGGAACAATGGCTTGAAGACGAAATAAATCTATATTTGTATGGAGTTTTATGCAGCTTCGGAAGCCAGTACATAGTTGGAACTTTCATTGTATTTGGTTCTGCTTGTAAAGAGGTAGCTAAAAGTTTATGTTTGTTACAGATGTCATTTTCCGAAAATGGAGTCAGTTGTAATGTTGGTGAATTCGTGATTTCCTTTTGTAGAACATCAATGTAAAATTTACGTCAAACAATAATGATATTGTTAGCAGCCTTATCAGCCGGGACAAAAATATATTCCTTGGCGAGTTCTTTTAGCTTATGTTTGATACGGGAAATAGGGCTATTATGGTTGTTGTTAGGAGTAAAATGATCTTTAAAATGTTGAATACGTATATCAACTATGTTCATTACCGAATTGAAAAAAGAATCTAATGATTTCTTGTCATCTTTTTCTCGTTTTATCCATTTAGAGCAGTAAGTACGGAGTGAGTCGTGGATGATGTTACGACACTCATTTAATAATTGACGGGGGCCGATATTTAGGTCCTTTACTGAGGAATGATTTCAACTCTCGGTCACGAACGATGTTAAGGTCTCTTGTTATAACATGGGAACTGGGCCATAAATGTATTCGGATTTACTGCAATTTCATGAGGTAGGTGTATTGTCACTGATATTAACATCTTTACACACTTCGCTGTAATTAAATACATATTTCCGGGTAGTTTTTTGTAAACATAACAAATAAGAGTTCAGTATTATCAAAATAGCCAGGAATTTGTTCTTTAACAGAATGATCATTAAAAATACCGGCAATATTTACAAAATCAAAACCTTATAGATATATAACAAGTTTGTAAGGAAGTCCAATATACTACATTGCCTTTCCCAATATTGACGGAAATGTGATCTAATTTTCAAGATCACAATAAGTCATTACACTTATGTAGTTTTACAACAGACGAAATCAAGTATGTATATCTGGATCTCCATAACATGTATTAACAGTGAACATTTACAAAGGGAACGATCATTTTATATTCGGGGAAATGAATGTTTGGCCTGGTAAGAACTAATAATAAATATTTACCTATTCCCACCCCCCTTCTGGTCGTCCACTACTTATTTGATCAAATAATCATTAGTTTTAAACAATACATTTGAAAACTGATGACTGTATTCGTTCTAAGATGATAAATCCAAGATATTTTCAAGATATGCATATATATCATCATTCGAAAAGAAAACCAGTTGTACTTTGTTTTGTCGCCAAGGTTGTATTTTGTCACATGGTAAAACATACCCCCCCCCCAACCCCCAATAAAAAAAATAAATATGTATTACCTCTGACTAAAGCTCCCATAACTATATATAATATTAATTATCTTGGTAAATCCTTCCATCTACCTCATTAACAGTCATTAATTGCACACATAACTTCTGTCAATATACTTACATTTAACTTTCGTTTTTAATAACATTATATATATTCAAAATCAAGTGTATAAATACTCCCGGTCTGTACAAATCTTACATATATGCTGGGGTTAAACACAGTTCAACTTATACATATCAAAATGAATTTCCAGTATTACGTTCCGGTTTTTGAAGTACAAATCATCATATAAATAAATTTGGTGTATTTACGGTCTTCTGATTGGTTATTTATTTTCAATGTTGTCAATTTTTATAGAACGCCCACTCTGACGTTGTGTATTCATAAGTCATTGATTCATACGTCAATGACAAAGTCATGCATTCTGGTTTAAAATATAAGCTATTAAAACATAATATAGGTGGTAACTTTTATGCAATCCTGAGAGATATGTACAATAAAAGTGAATTATGTGTTAAAATAGAATATGTGCTTACTCCTAATTTTTATTCTCAAATTGGAGTAAAGCAAGGGGAGTTTTAAGTCCAAACCTTTTCAAGATTTTTATAAATGATTTACCGGATGCATTTAAGGAAAGCCCAGACGCTGTTGATATAAACGGTCGCAGGATTGACTGCCTCATGTATGCAGATGATATTGTTATTTTTTCTAGTTCCAGGTCTTCAAAAACGACTTGATGGTTTATCCAAATTTTGTACTAAATGGTGTTTAGAGGTCAATCTATCTAAACCAAAGTTATTATATTAAACAAACCTGGTAAACTTTTAAAAGAATATTTTTATTTCGAAAAAGATACAATAGAATGTGTTAACAATTATAAGTATTTAGGTTTAAAATTTATATCTAGTGGACTTTTTAAGCAAGGAAAGGAAGAATTATACAAAAAATCACTAAAAGCTGTATTCAAATTGCAAAGATCTTTATCATCCTCCAATCCAAGTATTTCTACTCTATTACATATTTATGACCATACAATAAAACCCATTTTAATGTATGGCAGTGAAATTACAGGTATGTTTAAAACTAGCTCTGCAGCATGCCAGAAAGAAAGTGAATATTTATTACAGCACATTTATATGAATGATTTTTTAGATAAATCCAATTTAAGATATAGGAAGTATGTATTAGGTGTAAACAAAAAGTCTTCTAACCTAGCTGTGCTAGGAGAGCTTGGTAGATTCCCTTTATATTTTTCAGTTGTATTATCAATGCTGAAATATTGGTTTAGAATAAAAAAATATGAAAGATGGTTTACTGTATGATACCTATATGTGTAACAAAAACATGTTTAATAATAATATTGAATGCTGGTATTCATCCATACATTACATTTTTTAAAAGCTGAATATTCATAATTTGGAGGTAAAGCTCAACTTTTTTATCAAGTCAGTTAAGCAAAAACTTTGTAATAGTTTTGTAAAATTTTGGAACACAAAAAGAAGAGATACAAAGAGTAGTAAATTAGATACTTATTTCAAACTTAAAACTTGTTTTTCGAAAGAAATGTATCTATCTTTAAACAATTTTCAATTGAGAAGTGCCATATGTAAAATCAGAATCAGTGCACATGATCTCAAAATAGAAAGAGACAGGTATAAAACTTTATATATAGAAAGAGACCAAAGGCTTTGTAAGAAATGTACTCTAAATCTGGTTGAAGATGAACAACATTTTATTACTAGTTGTCCAGCATACAATAATGATAGGGAGATATTTTTCAAGGAGATAAACTGTATCTCTCCCAATTTTATATATCTTTCAAATGAGGCAAAATTTGTTTGGTTATTTACTAATGAAAATTTTTCTATACTTAAATATTTAGGGAGCTATATTATTACATGTCTAGATGTTAGACGAAATGTTAATTAATGTATGTAATAACAATGATAATTGTAATGATTTTATAGTTCTGATCCTGCCTGGAATTAAATGTATGTGATTTTTATAGAATGGAGATAATAACATCTGTCTGAACTTTTTAATGTTTCATTTTTATATATAAAAATGTTTTTCTGTTACAAATCATGATGTATTGTTTTATGTGTACATGTTATGCTGCCCATCAAGGGCCCTTGATTGGAATAATAAATATTCTTATTCTTATTCTATTCTTATTCTTATTCATACGCCAACATTTGTGTACGTTGTTATTGTTAATATAAATAATATAAAAAGCTCTTTGAGCTTTATTTTTTTGATAGAAATTTATTTATAATGAATGGCTATTATTTATTTTGAATTTATTGAACCATAAAATTAATTTTTGACTCTTCACATTTTACATAATCCGCTTCTAAATGATCAATTTCCTGAACGTTTCATTGTTTGGGTGCAGCACTTACACTGTCTTTCTTACAGTTACATGAAAATGGTCACATCAAAGTCATTTTAAAACTGATTATGGTTAATTGTTTAATAAATAAATAATTCAGTAGTAGAGAAAGTCTCACAAAGTTGTTTGAAGATCTTTGAAAGGCCTCCTTTTTCACCACGAACACGTCAAATTATGTTATCATAACTAAATATAGAATGCGATAATAATTTAGCCGTTTATTTTCAAATTAACTCATTTGTAATACAAAATTTAAGGATGAAAGAGGTGATATGTTGTATTCCCATGGTTGTATTCGCTAGAGGCTCTAAAGAGCCTGTGTCGCTAACCTTGGTATATATGCATATTCAACCATGGAAGTATTATATTGACTGAATATAATACTTCCATGCTCCAACATTGTAGATGAGAATAGAATTCATGACAAAAATCTGTTTTGATGATCTTGTATTGCTCAGTGTTCATTTAGTCTATATAGGACTATATAGTTTCTGTCTATCTTCTTTAGTTTTTGCACTAAAGAGGGTAACAAAAAATCCTCATTTAAGGGCAATCGCTCCTATAAAGAGTGACAGTCTACTAACTAAAATTGACTTGTAAGTAGATCTTGTCTTGCTTATCATTTTTGCTTATTTAAGTTTCTATCTATCTATGTCTATTATAATTTTTATCATGAGACAAAACGTCAAAAAAAAAATGGTAAAAATCGCCATTAAAGCGCAATAACGCCAATAAGGAATCCTCGGACGATTTCCACCATATATTGTATTAATTGTAGATCTTGTCTTGCTGGACGTTTTTGCTTATTTAAGTTTCTATCTATCTATAATAAGTTTTAAGATATAAGGCAAAAACGCAAACATTTGGAAAAAAATGTCATCTAAAGGCAATAACTTTAATAAGGAGTCGACTGACGATTTCAACCATTAGACTTATTTGTAAAACTTGTCTTGCTGATCATTTTTGCAGTTTAAAGTCTCTCTCTCTATATATAATAGTTTTCAAGATAATAGGCAAAAATGAGAAAAAAAAAGTTAAATTTGTCATTTAAGGGCAATAACTCCTTTAAGAAGTCGTCGGACAGTTTTTATGTATATGGACAATTAGTAGAGCTCAACTGACATTCTAGTATACTTATTTGTAGAACTTGTCTTGCTGATCATATTTGCAGTTTAAAGTCTCTCTCTATATATTACAGTTTTCAAGATAATAGGCAATAATGAAAAAAAAAAAGGTAAAATTTGTCATTTAAGGGCAATAACTCCTAAAAGAAGTCGTCTGACAGTCTTATCTATATGGACAGTTGGTAGAGCTCAACATTCTGAACATTTCTGTCCCTGTCAGATTTTCTCTATTTATAACGGTTTTATGTTTATAAAGGGACATAACTCAAGAATGGTAAAAGTGACGCCACCGAATTTCGTAATTAATCTGTATTATGTAGTAATAAGCATTGTGTATAAGTTTCATACCATTTGGTTGAGGCAAACTAAAGTTAAAGAATGGAAACAATATTTGTACTTGATCTTAGTTTTGTGGTAATGAGTATTGTGTATAGGTTTCATAATGTTTAATTGGGGCAAACTTAAGTTCTAGAATGGAAACTAAAAATTTTGCAATTTTTCGATTTATTAACGGGCATAATAATGGTTAAAGTGACACTACCCAAATTCAACTTGATCTGTGTTTTATCAGTGGAAGTCAAAATTAAACATTGCATTGTATAAAGCATTGATTGTAGTTGATTTAACTATAATCATGGACAAAGGAAGATAACTCCAATTTGAAAAATTACTTGAATAATGACATGATATTTTTGGAAAAAAAATGAGAAATTTAGGAATTTTTCCATTTGTAAAGGAGCATAACTCTAGAACAGTAAAAGTGACGCTCCCAAAATTCAAACTTGATCTGTGTATTGTGGTAATAAGCATTGTGTATAAGTTTCATAACATTTGGATGAGGCAAACTTAAGTTAGAGAACGGAAATTTATAAAGGGGCGTAACTCTAGAACGGTTAAAGTGACGCCACCAAAATTCAAACTTGATCTGTGTATTGTGGTAATAAGCATTGTGTATAAGTTTCATAACATTTGGATGAGGCAAACTTAAGTTAGAGAACGGAAATTTATAAAGGGGCATAACTCTAGAACGGTTAAAGTGACGCCACCAAAATTCAAACTTGATCTGTGTATTGTGGTAATAAGCATTGTGTATAAGTTTCATAACATTTGGATGAGGCAAACTTAAGTTAGAGAACGGAAATTTATAAAGAGGCATAACTCTAGAACGGTTAAAGTGACGCCACCAAAATTCAAACTTGATCTGTGTTTTGTGGTAATAAGCATTATCTATAAATTTGATAACATTTGGTTGAGGCAAACTTAAGTTAGAGAACGGAAACCAATTTTGGGACGTACGTACCGACGCACGTACGGACGGACGGACAAGGGTAAAACTTAATGCCCCCTTCCGCTTCGGCGGGGGCATAAAAAATACAAGACTAACAAAGGCCAGAGGCTCCTGACTTGGGACAGGCGCAAAAATGCGGCGGAGTTAAACATGTTTTGTGAGATCTCAACCCTCCCCTATATACCTCTAGCCAATGTAGAATAAACAAACACACAGCAATACGCACAGTAAAACTCAGTTTAAAAAAAAAGTCCGAGTCCGATGTCAGAATATGTAACATAAGAAACTAAGCAAAATGACAATGATACATAAATTAACAAAGGACTACTAGCAGTTACTGACATGCTTTACTTTTGAAGCTGTTTACATCGTTTAAACGAACAGTAGACAGAAAAAGGGTAAAATTTGCCTAAATTTCATATTGAAGATTGTTATGGGTATTTACATATGATATTACAATAGTCGATTATAAGGTCCAAATTAAGGCCATCGTGGCCCTCTTCTTTGCTTCAATCAAGTCATTAAAGTAAAATAAAAGCTATTGTCATTTCTTTGAATGTTCCTCCAATATCATCACTATAGATTTATGACCATTGTCCGATGCAATGTCCAACGGAGATTTTCCATCAGTCCGTTGCATGTCTATATTAGCACTTCTCTCTAACAATAAACAAACGATATCCTCATGTCCGACTTCACATGCAGAGAATAATGGTGTCGTTCCATCAACTTTTGTTACGTTCACATTTAGATTATAGTCCAGGAGGACTTTGACTACATTTTTATGTCCCATGAAACTAGCAAGATGTAGTGGGTATGAACCAGCGAACATACCAAAAACATGTTCTGGTACTGCGTTTTTAACGAACTCTATAGTAACTAATGTACCGTATTTATTTGCAACATTGAGCCAACTTTGTTGTACACTTTTAATTTTCTTTGGCGGATGCTTAGCTATAGAATCTACAATCAACTGTTTGCTTTGTAGACATTTATTACAGTCAGCTCTTTTAGCTAATAACAACTCTACAATGTCTGCAAAACCATTCCGGGTGGCTGTCAAAAGTGGATTGTCGCCATCATACATCTGTGCATTTATGTCCGCGTTATGTTCAATCAATAAACGGACAACATCAATATGATTTTTCTGAGAGGCCATTCTAAGAGGAGTTCCACCGGCATTGTTACTCAAATTGACGTTTGCATTATTTTTCAATAACATTCTCACGATGTCTGTGCGACCATTTTGCGCTGCCATGTAAAGTGGAGTTACACCATTGGCTCTACTTACATTGACATTACCATTGTTAGATAACAACCACTCCACTATATCAGCATAACCCTCACGACATGCCTTTATAAAAGGAGTATTGCCTGCTGCAAAGTCCTCTCTTTCGTTATCCTTCTTATTGGCAAGATCGTTTCGTTGAGACTGATTCATTTGTGCAAGATTATGCAATAGATGTTGCCTAAATTCAGGAATTCTCATGCTATCATTGTAGAACACATTTGTGACTTTCCCGTCTGACCAATCTGAAATCAGTCTTTTTAAATAAGATTTGAGGTTTTTATCAGGAAGTCTTATTGTAAATTCGACATCATTTTCGTGATCCTCTTTAGTTACCTTCCACACGACACGTTCACGTAAGAAACTACTGTCTCCATGCTTTATGACTAAATGTATCATTTTCATACCAAAATAGTGCGCAAAGAAGTCGAATAATCTGTCATGCAAACTGCTATAAACATTAATCTCTTTAGAAATATATGTACCAACTAAAGTGTCAGCAGCAACTTTCAGCTTCATCCTAGATGTTCCTCTATTCAGTTCACAAGCTTCAAAAGTGTCATCTAGGAGTTTTCTTTGTTCGTCAGCAATCTCTCCTGTAAAAATTTCTCCATCCAGTTTGTTATTATAGAGGACTATCATTACTAAGGAACAAATTTCCATCAACCCTTGATTTCCAGAACAGTATAATTTATCTAGTTCGTTTTTATACATTTCAAACGGGCGTTTGAAAAACATTTGCACGTCCATATCCGGTTTTCGACGACATAGAGAACAGAGGAGTGGGAAAGATTGTTCTGACACTTCAGTTAAATCCAATTCATCCGCATATTTACCAAAATATGATTCTGCCATCTTCGTTTTTTCTGATCCTGTTAGACGCAATTCATCGGATGTCAAATTACATTCACAAGACTTGAAAGGTCGAGATAATACTCCAAACTGTCTGTCCTTATAGACTTGTAATCTACAGGTTACAATGATCTTGCAACATTTATCTTCTAATATTGTTTTAATCACAGGTAACAACTGTTGCCACTTTTCAATTTGCTGTTGGCTAGCAGTGAATTTTCCACATATATCATCTACAACAAAAACCGTCTTCAAACCAGGTTGATAGTAATTTCTAATGTCTGTTGACTCTGTCACTGGTATTATTATGTACCTATCTTTCTGTAAAATCAGCGCAACATGTCTGGAAATAAATGTTTTCCCTACACCGGCACTGCCTGTTATGGTCACGCAATTGTTGTCAAGTACGCAGTTTCTGACATGTTCACTGGCTCGTGTAAATACAAATGATCTGTCTTTGAGGACCCAGTCCTCAATCTGTAGTCTCATTTGGGCTGAGAAAAGAACAAAAATCGAACTTTACACATGAAATCACATAATGTTCTGTTCATTTGAGAATGTTTCCTTTTGAAAATGGTGCTTTCTGTTAAAGCTATGATTTTTCTTGTCTCTTTTATATCTTCTTTTATCCTATGTTATTTATATCAAAGAAAACAGTCCAATACCAGGTAAATAATCAACGAATCAAGTAATCAACACGGAATAAGAAAGAAAAAAAAATGAAGATTCATCAAACGTTACTCTTTAAAGAATGATACGAGATATGTTGATATGGCCATTCTCTCCTGTTCATTTATATTAAGTATAATTCAGATAATATTCCATAAACATACATACGAGATAGATCAGACTTTATGTATTGGAAAAATAGAAAGACATGGTCCCTTCTAGTCGGCTTAATCAATAAAATTAAATCCAATTACCTCGAATATTTCCAGGAATAACTTCGTGTAGTTCACTTTGTATCTTTTTTAAGTTCTTATTTACTTGTGATATCATGTCTTGTCCTAAATGAGAATAATAAAAAGGTAATAGTTTTCATATACATTCCCTACTTTCATTAATTGTATTTTCTCAGTTCTTATTTATGTTGTTGTTTTGGTAGTTTTTTTACATGTCTATTGTCTAGATTGCATATATTATTGTTCTGAAAATGTTTAGAATTATATTGTTTATGTGTTAAATAATTAAAGTTTAGTCTCTTTTAAATCTTTACATTACATGGTAGGAAATAAAAGTTATTGGACTAAGGTAGTATACGATTGCAAAAAACATCGTAATAACATTAATCAGATATTTACCTTGTTCTTTCATCCTCTGCCTTTCTCTAAATTTCACCATTCCTATAAATAAGTGAATGAAAATTGTATCTGAAAAGTTGCATGAACGTTATGAAATTCAACATGCATTTGATATATACGAGTATCTAAACGGAAATTATAAAATATGTATAAAAACATGTATTATCTTATATGATATAATAAGGTGTATGTACAATTAATATTATTCAAATATGATTGGACGACTTTGCACAATAAAACATCCTAGCTGGATGATCTCCAGCCGTATTATCAGTTATAACTTTGTAGTGGACAATTGACAGTTTTCATGTGCAACAATATAATAAAATATTATTGATACAGAAAAAGTGAAACTTTACCAAAGGACAATTAAAATTAGCAAAAACAAAGAAAAACGGACAGTGTCATACCAAATTTTTTTTAGATGAAACGCAAACAAAACTGAACAAAACCCCTTCGCTCTACAACTTCATACTTTTTTTTGGCATTCTAAATTTTTTTGATTTGAGTATTTTGTAGACGAAACGTGCATCTGGCGTACAAAATGATAAGCCTTGTGTCTATTATAACATTATTCACAAAAGGCAAACAATTACGCAATATAAAGTTTTATTTCGTGCATTTTGTTATTTTTTGTAAATTACCTATTTGACATAACTCCTTATCATGCGTTGTCACCTCAGTATTTTCAAGGTCATCTACAATCTGTTCATAAGATGCATATCGTAGAGCTCCCAGAAACATATTGTATACGTTTTCATCTTTGCACACTAATTTAGCCAATAGACGTCTATTACTCTCTTGTTTTGTAAGGTTAAGAGTACATATTTCCTCTCGGTCTTCAGGTTCTAGGACTTCTGATTGTAGAAGATGGTCAACTACATCTGTTGTACAATCCATATCGTGTACCAACACGTTGTAGTTTTTCTGTAATTTTATTGTATTTGTGTTAACAACTACAAAATAAAGAAAACAATTCAGTAACGGACAGTTACTGATACTATATAAGATGTTTGTGAGCTAAGGATGACGTACTATATAAGATGTTTGTCAGCCAATAGATTTCATTAAAAAAACTAGCGCCATCAACTGTTACCATACCAAATGTTGCAAAATTTATAAGAACTTATTGTGCTGCGCATATCCAAATAAAATTTCTAGTCCGCCCTGCTAAAAATTAATGTTGGAATCCTAAAGTATCAAATAATTTTAACGGCACCAGACTTGCATTTCAAAAATTGATGTCACATCGAAAGATCAATTATCTCCAAAAAACACCGAAAAGGGTGTCAAAACCAGCTGCGGTCTGTTAGGATAAACAATGCGTTTCGAGAAGGTAACCTTAAAATTAACATGAGTGTAATTGTGTATGCACCGAATACATGTGTCTAGTCATTGAGGCTCAATACACAATATAAGATCACAAAAGTACCAACACCAGAAGTTCAATAAACTCAAAAACAATACGTCAAAGCACGTCAAAACAAAGTATTGAACGCGTGAGTTTCCAGAGGATAACATTAGAATCATACGGCTCATTGTCAATAAATATCAGTCAAGTATCAAATGAATGAACAAAATGATGTTGTCAATAAATATCAGTCAAGTATCAAATGAATGAACAAAATGATGTTGTCAATAAATATCAGTCAAGTATCAAATGAATGAACAAAATGATGTTGTCAATAAATATCAGTCAAGTATCAAATGAATGAACAAAATGATGTTGTCAATAAATATCAGTCAAGTATCAAATGAATGAACAAAATGATGTTGTCAATAAATATCAAGGACAGAAATGCATACCAACAAAAGTAGAAGTTCTACTTCGTGATGCACATTTAGAATACGACAATTTTATTTTGTGTGCTTCATAGCCTCTCATATCGTAGCATTATGGCAAACCCTGGTTTTCTTTAATTTCATGTAACTGTTACTACTTACTAATTTCAGTCTGTGAAAGACTGGAAGGTTCTTCACTCTTCACTCTAATTTTCATTCTATTAAATAGTTCTTGGACATCAGAATTACACTGGTCCAATTGTATCAAGGTATCTTTACATGGCTGGAAATTATCATATGGACGTTCCGTTAGGATTTCCAAAAGAACTTTATTACGTTCAAACTGTGTTGTCGGCTTTATTATTTCTTCTCTGTCCTCTATCATTATAATACATTTAGAAATAAGGTTATCCAAAACATGTTTGTCCAGTACTGTTATATGAGCTACTTTATCAAGATGAAGAGGAAGTCCTTGTTGGGGTTGACCTGAAGATAAAATATACACAGCAATATTAGATAAGCAGAATGGGGGTTCTAGTATATAAAACAGTTTGTCCAGTACTGTTATATGAGCTACTTTATCAAGATGAAGAGGAAGTCCGTGTTGGGGTTGACCTGAAGATAAAATATACACAGCAATATAAGATAAGCAGAATGGGAGTTCTAGTATATATAAAACAGTTTGTCCAGTACTGTTATATGGGCTACTTTATCAAGATGAAGAGGAAGTCCGTGTTGGGGTTGACCTGAAGATAAAATATACACAGCAATATTAGATAAGCAGAATGGGAGTTCTAGTATATAAAACAGTTTGTCGGTGACTACCATAAGTAACAAGCAAAATGTGGAAAACAGTTTGATAGTTTTCAAACTTAAGGATGTTCGCTACTCTGTTTTAAAATAACAAGCTTTTTAAAAGACTGTTCTAAATTTATAGTATATAAATAAAGGAACCAAAAAAGCAGAAAAAAATGAAGGGTCCGTGTACTTGTTTTTGAGATATAAGCCATTGAAAATTTGGCGGGAAATGATTCTCTCTAGATTTTTCATACTTTTAACATTGTCCGCTTTTCTCTTTTAAAAACTATGAAAAAATAACAAGGATTTTATAAGATTTTCAAATATGGCTTTTAAAACTATATGAAATAAAATTATGAAAAGAAAAGTAGGGGTTAGTGGACAAAATTATTTAATGGCAAAACATGGATAAAACCAGAGGATTCCGAAAATCTGGCAAAATTTTAAAAACCAGAGGAGCGAGCATCCTTAAACATAACATTTGTATATGATCGAAAAGTGTACCTATTCGTATGGTTAATCCTCTCACAAAAGGTCTTTGTTAAATTTGAAAGCGTTGCTCTCGTCGCTAATCTAAAATTATGGGCATTTTTTTCTTTTCTCTTAGTAAGTGTGTTCTTCTTTTTCATTAATGTCTATCCCTGGTTATAACTCCATCTAAAAACTATGATAATTTATGAGGAGGGTAAATGGTTGACAGGTGTATTTAACACGCATCCGACCAACATAGAGATAGGAATCAATGCTTCTCCTCATTTGAAAAGCTTTCAATGGTCATTCGATCTAGCGGTATATGGTAAAGTGTATTAGGGAATTATTAGTATTTGAAAATGATTTACTGAAATGATGTGGTTCCTTCACCAATACAAATGACCATCGTGAATTGTATGAGGGTTCAGAAAGAAACGAAAATTTTATTTAAGAAAGTGTAAGGTTACAATTCCTTTTATGGCTGTGAGTAACATACGATTTGAAAAACACAATAAACCATTATGTGGGGCCCTTTATAGCTTGCTGTTCGGTGTGAGCCAAGGCTCCGTGTTGAAGACCGTACTTTGACCTATAATGGTTTACTTTTATAAATTTTGACTTTTGGATGGAGAGTTGTCTCATTGGCGCTCATACCACATCTTCTTATATCTATATACCATATTCGATTAAAAACTAACCTATGTTTGAACTAGACAAAGACTGTATTTCTGTCGATTTGTTGCTTTTTGACACTTTATCTTTATCTTTATGGACTTCTGTTTGGACAGCAACACCATTTAATTCTATCGATCCATGTTGAAGAACATCATTATTTGTTTCTGTTGATGTGCGAAGAGAAATATCACTGGTGTCTGGCTTCATATCTGATGAGGCCATATCCATGGGTTGTTTCGAGGGCTTTTCTTCAGGTTTTTATTGATCTCTTAGCTGGGATATCCCATTTAGTAAGTTGATTTTATAATATCTGCAAATAGAATGATAGTATTATGTTACTTATGTCCAAATGACTGCTTTAAAAGATATATGTTATGTATTGCAAATGCTTACTCCGTTTATGATTATTTATATAGGTTACACCATTTATTTGTACATTTAATTTGTAGTTTTCTACATATACTTGTGATTTGATTCTAGTATTTATTTATCACCATTTCGCAAAGTCAGTTTTTGTTTTTACTGCTTCGTTTGAGACGAAATGTTCAATTTGTATACCAGTTGATCTGTTTGCTATATACAATTTTTAATTGGAAATAAGAAGATGTGGTATGAGTGTCAATGAGACAACTCTCCATCCAAGTCACAACGTATAAAACGTAAACAATTATAAGTCAAAGTACGGCCTTCAACACGGAGCCTTGGCTCACACCGAACAGCAAGCTATAAAGGACCGCAAAATGACTAGTGTAAAACAATTCAAACAGAAAAGCCATCGGTCTAATTTATATAAAAAAAACGAGAAACGAGAAACACTTATGAACCACATCAACAAACGACAACCCCTGAACATCAGGTTCCTGACTTAGGACAGGTGCAAACAAATGCAGCGGGTTTAAACGTTTTAATAGGCGCCAACCTTACTGTTGACTGCTGTACACCAACTTTTGACATTTTTACCTATTATGCATGTTTGTTTTGCTCACACATTGTTGTCAATATAGTGGAGTACATAAGGAAATGCCTGTACCAAGTCAGGAATATGATAGTTGTTTTCCATTCGTTTGATGTGTTTGAGCTTTTGATTTTGCCATTTGATGAAGGACTTTCCGTTTTGAATTTTCCTTGGAGTTCGATCGGTATTTTTGTTATTTACTTTTTATGTTCTACAAGAAATTAAAATGATTCATTTCCGAAAGGATTTAAAAGTTTCTTTACAACATTTGCCTGATCAAGAATAATTTTTTGCACGACTGAGCTATATCTACTGATACAGTGAGTGTTTGTTCCCTTCACTACGGATAATTATGATATCTGCAAATGTGATATGATCCGATTATCAGGTTTTCTGCATGTTGTAAAATATCATCTGCGAGTCACAATAATTATGGAGCTTTTTGTCGAGTGAGCGCAGTGAACGAGTTCAAAAATTAAGGCTTCATATTATGTCGGTATATTTTCTTCGTGTATAGATATAGAACAAGTTTGTAAGGAGCGTCCAATATACTACATTGCCTTTCCCAATATTGACGGAAATGTGATCTTATTTTCAAGATCACATTAAGTCATTACACTTATGTAGTTTTACAACTGAGACGGAATCAAGTATGTATATCTGGATCTCCATAACATGTATTAACAGTGAACATTTACAAAGGGAACGACCATTTTATATTCGGGGAAATGAATGTTTGGCCTGGTAAGACCTAATAATAAATATTTACCTATTCCCACTCCCCTTCTGGTCGTCCGGCCACTACTTATTTGATCAAATAATCATTAGTTTTAAACAATACATTTGAAAACTGATGACTGTATTCGTTCTAAGATGATAAATCCAAGATATTTTCAAGATACGCATATATATCATATTTCGAAAAGAAAACCAGTTGTACTTTCTGTTTTGTCGCCAAGGTTGCATTTTGTCACATGGTAAAAACATATACCCCCCCCCCCAAACAAAATATGTATTACCTCGGACTAAAGCTCCCATAACTATATATAATATTAATTATCTTGGTAAATCCTCCCATCTACCTCATTAACAGTCATTAATTGCACACATAACTTCTGTTAATATACTTACATTTAACGTTCGTTTTCAATGACATATATATATATATTCAAAATCAAGTGTATAAATACCTCCGGTCAGTACAAATCTTACATATATATATGCTGGGGTTAAACACAGTTCAACTTATACATATCAAAATGAATTTCCAGTATTACGTTCCGGTTTTTTAAGTACTTATCATCATATGATCAATTTCCTGAATGTTTCATTGTTTGGGTGCAGCACTTAAACAATGCATGTCTTTCTTACAGTTACGTGAAAATGGTGACATTAAAGTCATTTTAAAACTGATTATGGTTAATTGTTTAATAAATAAATCATTCAGTAGTAGAGAAAGTCTCACAAAGTTGTTTGAAAATCTTTGAAAGGCCTCCTTTTCGTCACGAACACGTCAAATTATGTTATCAAAACTAAATATAGAATGCGATAATAATGCTACCGTTAGCTATTTTTAGATTTCAAAATTCCGGTCGAACGGAAATATCTCGGAATGATGAAATAACTTTCGACAAGTAATATTTAAATGACATTTATATTTAAATTAATTCAAATCAAATTATCTCTCTCATCTTTAGATATTTATTTTTTAGCCGTTTATTTTCAAAGTGACTCATTTGTAATACAAAATTTAAGGATGAAAGAGGTGATTTCACTAGAAGCTCTTAATAACATGTGTCATGTGTGTCGCTCAGCTTGGTATATATGCATATTCAACCATGGAAGTATTATATTGACTGAATATAATACTTCCATGCTCCAACATTGTAGATGACAATAGAATTCATGACAAAAATCTGTTTTGTTGATCTTGTATTGCTGATCATTAAGTGTATATAGTTTCTGTCTTACTACTTCTTTAGTTTTTGCACAAAACACAAAAGGGTAACAAAAAATCCTCATTTAAGGGCAAACACTCCTATAAAGAGTGACAGTCTACTAACTAAAATTGACTTGTAAGTAGAACTTGTCTTTGCTAATCATTTTTGCTTTTTTAAGTTTCTATCTTTCTATCTATTATAATTTTTATCATATGAGGCAAAACGCAAAAAAAAAACACTAAAGCGCAATAACGCCAATAAGGAGTCCTCGGACGATTTCCACCATAGTGTATTAATTGCAGATCTTGTCTTGTTGGTCATTTATGCTTATTCAAGTTTCTATCTATTATAATTTTTAAGATATAAGGCAAAAACGCAAAAAAATGGAATAAAAATTGTCATCTAAAGGCAATAACTCTAATAAGGAGTCGACTGACGATTTCAACCATTAGACTTATTTGTAAAACTTGTCTTGCTGATCATTTTTGCAGTTTAAAGTCTCTCTCTATATATTATAGTTTTCAAGATAATAGGCAAAAATGAGAAAAAAAAAAGTAAAATTTGTCATTTGAGGGCAATAACTCCTTTAAGAAGTCGTCGGACAGTTTTTATGTAAATGGACAATTAGTAGAGCTCAACTGACATTCTGAACATTTCTTTCCCTGTCAGATTTTCTCTATTTATAACGGTTTTCAAAATGATAGACAAAACTTGCATTTTACCCCTATGTTCTATTTTTAGCCATGTCGGCCATCTTGGTTGGCAGGCGGGGTCATCGGACACATTTTAAAAACTAGATACAATAATGATTGTGGCCAAGTTTGGTTAAATTTGGCCCAGTAGTTTCAGAGGAGAAGATTTTTGTAAAAGTTAACAGACGACGACGGACGACGGACGCCAAGTGATGATAAAAGCTCACTTAGTCCATTGGGCCAGGTGAGCTAATAATTTGAACAATTGAAACAAAACCATTGAATTATTTAGTGTAGTAGAAAATATGGATAACTCAGAATAATATGTAATTTAATATACAAACATATATCTGAGTGAAGATTATAATATACATACATAATTTGAAAATTTTGCTGTATATACTAATCAATGTGAACGTCACATACCAGCTGCATACTGGCATACTTATAAATTGGAAGATATATTCTGATTTTAAATACATTTTTTGTTTCTATAAATGAATTTGTATATGCAAGTCTAAATTGAAAACAACGTTCAAACCTATGATTCCGTTGGGTAAAAACCGCAATTTTTTGGAATTTGTATATATATATATATCATAATGACATCGTCCCCTTCTGTCAACTGGATTCAAGATGCTTAATTGATACAGGTAGGATAAAAACATTTCCACATATGTATTTAGCATGCCAGTCAGTTTTTTCTGCACCACTTGATTTAATTGAATGCAATTTGTTTATTTTCGAATTATTGATGTTATTGTCATGTCAAATGTGAAAATTGTGACAGTTATCTATCATACTGGCATATATCAATACTCGTATTTGCCTAATGAAAGAATGGGAATAATAGTATTTAAAAAAAGTGTGGGAATCAACTGTGATATCAATACACATCTTGATCCAAATTTTATTCAATGGCTTACAGGAACATAAGATACTGATAAAACGCTTTCATTATTCTTATCAACTGCTTAAATTTGAAAAATCACATTTTCCACATTAATTAGTAAATGGCAATGTAAAATAAACTTTGATTATTACAAATGAACTATATGCAAGTGGCACTATATCTAAAATAAAGAAGGTTGTTCGCCCAACCTTTTCGTAATTTAAGGACAAATAACCTAGTAAAAGTAGGCAGTTGGTGATTAAAATGGTGTATAAAGTTTCTGCAAGTCATAGAAACACACAATTATTTTCATAATATGTGTTCAACTTAGAATTTTTCACCATCTCCAAATCTTGGGTGATCACATAGATCCAGCATGGCTGAATCAAAAATGTTCCAAACCTTTGACCATGTACAGTATTTTTCAATTAAACAACCACCGTAATAGAAATGTACAATTCAATGAATAAAAAAGGTGAGATCCCAGGGGACATCCCCATCCCTTGTCATTTGAGAATGTTCAAATGTCTGCAATATCGTTGAGAACACTAGCCCTAAACCATGTATTTTCTCGTTTTGCATGTGAAGACATGTTGAATGATTCCCCGCTCAATTACAATTTAGAATCTTTAAATGTCTCGTAAATGTGAAATCCACACTTCTCAACCATATGTTTTGTTGGACATATGTCAAAATGCATTGAATTATCTATAGAGTGGGTTCCAATGGGTCTTTCCCAAATCCTGCCTTTTGAGATCAATAGATGGTTGTGCCTACTATAGAAACCTATGGGTTTTTTTTGTTAAAGACTTGAGTTCAAATTACTTACAATGTTACTAGTTATTCTGGCATTGTACTTGGTAGTATGACACATTGACTCCTACAATACACAATGTAGCTAGTTATTCCGGCATTGTACTTGGTAGTATAACACATTGACTCCTACAATACACAATGTAATTAGTTATTCCGGCATTGTACTTGGTAGTATGACACATTGACTCCTACAATACACAATATAACTAGTTATTCCGGCATTGTACTTGGAAGTATGACACACTGACTTCTACAATACACAATGTAACTAGTTATTCCGGCATTGTACTTGGTAGTATGACACATTGACTCCTACAATACACAATGTAACTAGTTATTCCGGCATTGTACTTGGTAGTATGACACATTGACTCCTACAATACACAATGTTACTAGTTATTCCGGCATTGTACTTGGTAGTATGACACATTGACTCCTACAGTATACAATGTAATTAGTTATTCCGGCATTGTACTTGATAGTATGACACATTGACTTCTACAATACACAATGTAACTGGTTATTCCGGCATTGTACTAAGTAGTATGACACATTGACTCATACAATATACAATGTAACTAGTTATTCCTGCATTGTACTTGGTAGTATGACACATTGACTCCTACAATACACAATGTAACTAGTTATTCCGGCATTGTACTTGGTAGTATGACACATTGACTCCTACAATACACAATGTTACTAGTTATTCCGGCATTGTACTTGGTAGTATGACACATTGACTCCTACAGTATACAATGTAATTAGTTATTCCGGCATTGTACTTGATAGTATGACACATTGACTTCTACAATACACAATGTAACTGGTTATTCCGGCATTGTACTAAGTAGTATGACACATTGACTCATACAATATACAATGTAACTAGTTATTCCTGCATTGTACTTGGTAGTATGACACATTGACTCCTACAATACACAATGTAACTAGTAATTCCGGCATTGTACTTGGTAGTATGACACATTGACTCCTACAATACACAATGTTACTAGTAATTCCGGCATTGTACTTGGTAGTATGACACATTGACTCCTACAATATACAATGTAATTAGTTATTCCGGCATTGTACTTGGTAGTATGACACATTGACTTCTACAATACACAATGTAACTAGTTATTCCGGCATTGTACTTGGTAGTATGACACATTGACTCCTACAACACACAATGTAATTAGTTATTGCGGCATTGTACTTGGTAGTATGACACTTTGACTCCTACAATATTCAATATAACTAGTTATTCCGGCATTGTACTTGGTAGTATGACACTTTGACTCCTACAATACACAATGTAACTAGTTATTCCGGCATTGTACTTGGTAGTATGACACATTGACTCCTACAATACACAATGTTATTAGTTATTCCGGCATTGTACTTGGTAGTATGACACATTGACTCCTACAATACACAATGTAACTAGTTATTCCGGCATTGTACTTGGTAGTATGACACATTGACTCCTACAATACACAATGTTACTAGTTATTCCGGCATTGTACTTGGTAGTATGACACATTGACTCCTACAATATACAATGTAATTAGTTATTCCGGCATTGTACTTGGTAGTATGACACATTGACTTCTACAATACACAATGTAACTAGTTATTCTGGCATTGTACTTAGTAGTATGTCACATTGACTCCTACAATACACAATGTTACTAGTTATTCCGGCATTGTACTTGGTAGTATGACACATTGACTCCTACAGTATACAATGTAATTAGTTATTCCGGCATTGTACTTGGTAGTATGACACATTGACTCCTACAGTATACAATGTAATTTGTTATTCCGGCATTGTACTTGGTAGTATGACATTGACTCCTACAATACACAATGTAACTAGTTATTCCGGCATTGTACTTGGCAGTGTGACACATTGACTCCTACAATATACAATATAATAAGTTATTCCGGCATTGTACTTGGTAGTATGACACATTGACTTTGACTCCTTCAATATACAATGTAACTAGTTATTCCGGCATTGTACTTGGTAGTATGACACATTCACTTCTACAATATACAATGCAACTAGTTATTCCGGCATTGTACTTGGTAGTGTGACACATTCACTTCTACAATATACAATGTAACTAGTTATTCCGGCATTGTACTTGGTAGTATG